TTCCCAGCAGCAAACACACATCCTGACAGGGCAAGGGATCAAATCTCCCTGCACTGAGCTCACCCAGAGACCCACTTCTAATGGCTTCATCACCTGCTCCAGGTCACCTCATGTCTGGGTTGTGCCTGCAGGCTGGAGGTAGAAAGGAAGGCAAATGGAGTAAGAATAAATAAATTAATTAATCTACAGAAGAGGCATGTTGGTTTTACTGTGGATAAGCGACTCCCTTGCCATGGCAGTACATCCTAAAGGTCGTGGAAAACCCACTTGGAGTCCAAACAAGTACCTGGCAGACACTGGAGTAGCCTAGGCTGGACAAAGGGGCTCAAGCTGGCATTCAATCTCAGAAGCTGTCCTTCAAGAAGCTGCCAAAAGAAATCACTGAGACCAAGAAGTCCTACCAAGCATCTTAAAACTTTACTACAAGCACTTCTCAGCAGCATGACTGGAGATCTTGTAAAGTCCTCATAATTGAGCCTGGACACTGAAAATAAACCCTCTTGGGTTAAGGAAATGATCTTCCTCTCTTACAGAAGATATTTCTCCTATAAGCATTCAAACTACTTTCTACCACAGGATGGAGATGTTTGGTTTCAGCATTCAAAATGCAGCTGCTAATTTTAAACAGATTTTAAAGAAGTTCTTTAGTTTTTCTAGGAATGTCCATGTTTAAGATGGATTTTTGGCCAGATTCTGCAATTCCCACCAGCCCATTTCCATTTTCCTGGAAGCACCTCCTCTAGGATGCTTACAACTCAACAAGAAGAATTTGATCAAGGTTGAATCATGGCATGCAAGGTTCCAGCCCAGCAGCAATCCTTATTTATTATGTTTGGGATCAAAACTTCCAAAATTAATGTATTTTTCTTTTGGACTCCTGGGCTACAAACTACACACAATGTACTTTATATTTTCCCCAGAAGCCTCTTTGAAATAAGCTCCAAAGATAATTCAAGCAACCAACCAGAACTCCTGAATGCGAGACCTGAGCAGTGCAAATTAAACAAGCATTGTAGCACCCTGAACATCAATTTGTATTTGCAAGATTCTGCTCCTTGAGAAATGGATTTTGGCAGGTAAGATTTTGAGGAAAAGGTCTTGGAGAGACAAAAGCAGCTTTCCCAACCCTTCAGCTCCTGGTATAACCCAGGCCCCAAACGTGCCAGAGGAGTCTCCCTTCCCAATCAAACGTTCCCCCTCTGCTGCTGCTGAAAGGCAACGAGATCTCTTTTACAACCCTCGTCTTCCCCAATAAATTTTGCATGAAAACACATCAGCCCAGCCCAGAATTCCTGCTGGCAGGCTGGGAGGGTGATGAATGTTTAATGCAAGCAGCACCCCCAGCTCCGTGCCAGACAGCAGCTCCCGCACGGCCCCTTTGATCCCAGCACAGCTTCCGAGGAGTTCTGGGGTGCTCTGCCCCACACAACTCCATCACCTCTATGCAAATCAGGGCCAATTAACATAAATGACTTCCTACTGCACCAGCTGGGAAGAAGGAAGGGAAAAATAAGGGAAAAATAATCGTGTGCCAAGCTCCAGGAGAGTCTGACTCGGAAAAGTCCAATATTCCCACTTTACTCCTGAGGTTTTCTCCAAACAGCAAAAATCTCATCATTAGCCATCAATCACCACGTGCCATCCAAGGGCACTGGGCATGGATCCAGCTCCAAGGGGTGTGGGGAAATGCCACTGGAAAAAGGTCCCCAGACAGGAGGAGCTCAGTGAAACTTCAAAGCCCTGAAGTGTGGAACTGAAAGGAAAAATGGGGATTGTGTTTGAACAACAAACTCCTCAGCTCTGTAATACTGACAGGACACAGGGAACGGCTCCCACTGCCAGGGGAAAGGGATGGATGGGATTTTGGGAAGGAATTGCTCCCCAGGAGAGTGGGAAGGGGCTGGCACAGGGTGCCCAGGGGATCTCCAGTGTCCAGGACCACCTGGAGCAATCTGGTCCATGGAAGGTGGCCCTGCCCATGGCAGGAGCTGGAATAAGATGGGATTTAAGGTCTGGCCAGCCCAAACCATTCCAGGATTCTGGGATCTCTCAAAGTATTCAGGAAGCTGTGAAACCATTAATGCCCAAATGTATCAATAACCTTATTAAGGATCAGCAATTAAAGCAATAAAAGTGGTCAGGTTTGATTAATGGTTCACCACTTCTTTTCTCTTAAGAACTGAGGAGCTGCTCTTAATTTATTCCATTAAAAATTGTCAAAATCACTTGGAGAAGTAATCCAAAATTCCACTAGTACACAAGCAACGATGAGACCCATAAATCTAGGAAAATTTATTTTAAACTAACAAGCTTTTAGTAGCTTTCTCCCTCCAATTTAACAATTAGCAAGGAGCCTTATAAAAACACATCTCAGAACAACAGAATTTGCATGTTTTGAAGCTGCTCAAGACTTGAAACATCAAAATTCAACAGCACACCCAACCAGGTCAATGAAGACATGCATGCAGGTTGTTTTAAAACAAGCGAATTTCAAAAAGCATAAATAAAAGATGAATGTAATGCTTTGATTAGTACAAAAAAACAGTGGGAAAACATGGTAGCACTGTAAAACCCTCACTTCTGCAGACTTGGACAGCTGAAGGCTTCCTGCATGTAGATGCTGCTGGCCTCAACGTGGGATTTGGGAGTGGAGGAAACTTCCAGCCCCCATTCCCAGCAGCTGCTGCAGGATTTCCCTCCACAGTGGCTGGACAAGTGGAACATCCCTTACAGCATTTCAGGGTATAAGAGAAGAGCTGAGCTGTTTCACAGCCCATCTCATGAACAGCTGGGGCTTCTGCAGCACTCCAGAAATTCAGTGTTCAACGTTAGAGAATTGTCACTGAAACGGGGAATGCTAAAGGACAATACCCAGAATACAATTATTTAAAATAATTTTGGTTTTTTACTTTTGAAATTTTTCTTGAGATGTTTACTGTGCAAGATCTCCCTTGAAACAATCTAAAACTGCCCAAAGAAAACCTCAAGCACAGACCTTTCCCCCTCACATCTACAAACACAGCCAAGCCAAGGACAGAAAATCATCATTAGGGTTTACAAGAGCCACAAACAAATTTGCTGCTTAATTAGTGAAAAAAATGCAATTTGATTCTGCCCTTTAGAGAAGCAGTAAAGCCCCAAATATACAACATCTCTCAGATAAGCTGCAGTGCTGCCAAGCTGAAATACCTCCTTTTATGCAAAGTTAAACTATAAAGTCAAGCAGCACCTGAGAATTTATGTCCCTTCTTCTTACAGTCTGGCTTCAGGCTGATCTTCATTACAGCTCCAAAGCAGCTATTTTGAATAAATACATTGCAAACAGCCATGAATTTAAACTGGGAGCCAGACCTGGTCCTTGAGGTGCCTTTGAGGCTCAAATCCTGAGGCCACAGGATTGTTTTCACTACAGAGTCCTGATGCTGGAAGTTCTGGAAGAGATCTGTAGAATAATGAGACTTTCTAGACTCTGGGTCCAGAAATTAATCTGCTTGGACAGTCCAAACTGGATCCAACTTAACCAGGAATTTTCCTGCTGCCACAGAGAATGAAGTAAAAATTCCAGAAGCCAACAGAACCCCACGTGTGGGTGGAAGGTGTTGCCCTAGAAATTCCCCAGGATTTTTCAGTGGGAATCCACCCAAGGGAAGGTCATGAAGTGACACCTCAGTGTTTTGTTTTGTTTTTTTTTTTTTTAAGGGATCAGACAAAGAGGGAAAAGACAAATAGCCCAGGAAAGGCTGCACAAGAGCATAATACATAAAGCAGAGGGAATTATGTAAATTACACAAAACGTAAAAAATTACACTGCTTTTCCTGCAATCTGTCATCAAAAACCCAAGTTATTCCAAGCAGAAACTGGACTGACAGCAGGTTCTCAAAGGTTCCCATCCTTCACCCAGAGCAAGGCTTGTGCTGAAACTGCATTTGTGAGCCTCAGCCAAAGCCCAGGAGGAACTTCTGCCACTGGGAGGAGGTGTAGGTGTGTGTGAACAGTCAAACCCATCTTCTCTTAGCAAGAAGCCTTCATGCTTTTCAATATTCCCCATTTTCCCCATAAATTATGGCTATTACATATGGGAAGAATCTTTATATTAACAAACTGCAGAAAGCTCTTTAACCTACCTGAAACCAAGCCGGGGGGAAAGGGTGGAAAATTAAACTATCACTAAGTGCAAAATGTTGCCACACTGCAGAACTGTAAAACCCTACAAATCCCACCCTCCAAATACTCTAAATATTCTGAATAATATTCTAAATAATACTCTGAATAATACTCCACCTTTCAAACATTCTGCATTGATACAAACTTAGTTTATATAAAATAAAATTTAAGGTAAGGTAAAATCACTACAGCAATCTTGGAGTCTGTTGTGTTGAGGTGACCCCAAGATTGTAAAAATCCTCGTTTCCCAACCCATGTGGCCAAAGAAGTCTGAATGTGCAGGGTCAGCTTCTCAAGGCTGTTTATTTTCCCTTAGCTAGAACATTCTTTCTCTGCCCTGCTGAGCTCTGTCCAGCAGCTCGGCCATGGCATTCTGTCTGCCCTCAGGGTGGTGTTTGCATTTTATACCCAAAACTACCTGTGTTACAATAATGTGACAATATTGATCATTTATGTTGGACAGTGTGTCTCTACCTTAAACCAACAGAAAAGTATCACCGTCACAGCAAGACATGGAGGCCAAGAAAAAGGAGAAGAAAGTCAGGACATGCCCAAATCCTCCATCTTGTCCCCTTGAACCCCATTCTAAAAAGCCCAAAATTCTACTTTTTCACCCTGTGTTAATTCAAATATCACATGAACTCAACTATCACATTACTGTGGCTTGTAATTCCTCATTTTTCCCACAGGCTAAAATGGAAGCCACAGGTGTTTTTGCCTTTGTGCCAAGGTCTGGGGACAGCCAGCGGGATGTGCCGGGTCCCCACACAGCAACAAGGACACGGCGCTGCCGCCCGCCTTCGCTCCAAGCCGCGTCATTCCCCGTTTCACTTACCCAGCCTTGGTGCCGTGAGTTTCCTTCTCCTTCTCCTTGCCTTTGCCCTTGGCCTTGTCCTTGTCCTTGTCGCGGCCCCTGCGGCGCTCCCGGGAGGCGCTGGGCGTCCTGCGCTGGCCGGACCGCTCGCTGCTGCGGCTGTAGGATCGCTGCCGGGCCCGCGAGCGCGACCTGCGCGGGGCAGAGCACAGAGCTGTCGGAACTCAGAATGTCCCTCAGGCGTTTCTGGGGGTTCCAGGCCCTGCTCAGAAGCATTTGAGACCCTGGCAGGCAGCTGGAAACAGCTGTGATTTTGGGATTGAACCATGGAACGATTTACCAACCTTGCAGGAAGAACAAGAAGTCACAACAGTTTAGATGTTATAGTAGAAGTAGTTACAAAGTAGAGGGAAGAATTTTTTTAGTGCTGTACAGGGGGGTTTTAACACCTGTACAGGGGGGTTTTTACTTTGTACATGGGGGTCAGAAGTTTTAAGATGGAGGAATGTAGGCCGGTCCTGTTCCTCCTCTTTCTTCTTCCTTACCTCCATGTTCTTGATGATATTGGCATTTATGGATTGGTTTAGAATAGAAAAGCACCATTTAATATAGGTAATAGGCATTGGGGACAAACTGTACCCATGTAACACGTAATGTACCATATAAAAGACAGAAAAGCACCATTTAATATAGGTAATGGGCATTGGGGAAAAACTGTAACATGTAACACGTAATGTACCATATAAAAGGTAGAAAAGCACCATTTAATATAGGTAATAGGCATTGGGGAAAAACTGTAACATGTAACACGTAATGTACCATATAAAAGGTAGAAAAGCACCATTTAATATAGGTAATAGGCATTGGGGACAAACTGTACCCATGTAACACGTAATGTACCATATAAAAGACAGCACAGCCCTGGGCAGGGAGAGAAGAAGCAGTCGGGAGTCAGAGAGGATGTCAGGGTGTGTGTGTGCCTCTGCCTGAGCTGTGAGCAAACCACAGCAGCCCCAGAAGAAAATCTTTTAGATAACTTGCAATAAACTGCCTTGAGACTCAACAAGAGGCTGCAGAGTTTTCTTTAGAAGCACAGGTTGGAGGAGAGACTTTTCCACCACACTGAACCCCTGAACCAGGCCGGTTCTCCAGTTAAGCTAACCCTAACCAAAACTCTTGTGAGAAGCAGCCAGATAGTGAAGGGAGGTTCTCCCTCACTAGAGAAAGAAGGGGCTGCTTCTAGGCAGACAGAAAGGATCCCCAAAGTGTAAATTACCAAATTAGTCTAACAAAACACCACCAATTCCTCTGCCTTCCTCTGCAGAGACCTCTAGGTATTTTCTCCAAAAACCAGTGGGTGAAGTCAAACATCTGACATCAGCAGGCCTCGTCTGCTACCAAAGGTTTCATCTCCAGGTTTTGGAAACTTTTGGCATTTTTAAAATGCTTTAAAGGTCTAGAGTGAAAATCTCCATGATCTCACTGCCCTACTTTCACAGTTACAAAATTCCATCATAAGAACAACCTGCCAGCCATTTCTCACCAGCACTGCACCTCAGCTTTGTTATATACCCCACCTTTCAAATATCCTGAATTGATATAAACTTAGTTTATTTAAAATACAATTTAAGATTTTTGTAATTTTGGATTGTATAGTTATATTTTATTATTTAATTTCAATAAATTTAATAAAGAGATCTAATAATGTAGCACATTTCACAGTTTAATACATTGAAACTGACAATTTAGCAAAATAAGTGAAAAAGAAAACATGGCTCCTGCTCTGAAAAGAGATGCAAAATAACTTAAAACACACAAGGCAGGATTCATCCATTAACAAAATGGAACAAAATCAAGAAGTATTACGGCTGGTTCTTTGTATGTCCAAAATGATTTCATTATTCCTGAATTTCTGGTAGAGGATTTTCTAAGTTGTATTTAATAATTTATTATGGATCTGATGGACCTGAGTAGACAAGGAATATTTGAGAAAAATCAGGTCAAGTTTTCCTTGGTTTCTTCTACCTGAGCACCCTGGACTTTGGAATTGTCCCTTCCCAGGGCAGGGATGGAATGAGATGGGCTTTAAGGTCCTTCCCAACCCATGCCATGATTCTACAATTCCACGATTCCCATGACAGTTCTGAGGGTACCTCATGGAAAAGTCCCATTAAGTACTGAGGGAAATTGGGAATTTTTAGAACAGTATAAAAATTTTCTTTAGCACCTCTCGGAAGGCAAAACTGCCAAGGCCTTTAAAAGCCAAATCACACAGACAAAAATCCCTCCTTTTATGAAACAACAACTGCTCAATAAAACTCAACAATAGACTAAGCAAAAGAAAATCCTCCATCCAGATGAGGCTATAAATTACATTTCTGGAACTTGTCCAGCACATGGGAGTTCAGGTCCCTGTTCCTGCCAGGAGCAGCTCCAGAGGTCAGGGCTGGGTTCCTGTTTCAGCAGCTGGTACCTTCCAACAGCAGCTCTCCCATCCTGGTCACTCTATTAACACTAATAAATAGATCAAATTACACTGCACTGCTGTATTCTTAACTGGAGAACATTTGCTGGCTCAAAATGGATTTTTAGCATGTCATCACAAATGTGAAAGTGTCCATCCACCCATCCTTACTCCTCAGGCAGAGGAAGTTTCGACTTGAAAGGGAATACTGGATATTAAATCTAATTATTGCTTGGCACAGAGACACTGCCTTTACAAACATTATGATGAGGCAGCACAGATTTACAGAGCACTGCCCTAAATCCACTATTCCCAGGTAACCCTGACTTCTCAGAACTCTGCAGGCGAGTCCAAAACAGAAAATAAACCCCAAACAACAGAACAAACACAGCCCTGTAGCAACACAAATCACCTTTAATCGATGCAGGGCCTCTCCTCACTTAATGGCACAGCTCTCCCACCAGGAGCAACAGGAATCTAAAATATTTATTGCCAAAGAACTTCAGTTTCTCAGCTCAAATCTGAACTGGAGTTCACTTCTACCTTTTGCAGGTGTAAATAAAATTCAGCTCAGGCAGGCTGGATGTTCAGCTCCTGGATTTCTGCTCATTCCCATGTCTGTGCAGAACTGGTGGCAGGTGACATTTATATACAGCTTTTAAAAATCAGAGTTATTGCAGCGGATCTCCCCATCCCTGGCAGTGTCCAGGGGCAGGATTGGAGCTCCCTGGGATAGTGGAAGGTGTCCCTGCCGTGCCTCCCTGGGCACCAGTGTCCCACCACCCTCACAGGGATGGATTCCTCCCAACATCCCATCTAAACCTCCCTCCATCAGCTTCAGGCCATTCCCACTTGTCCCATCCCTCCATGGCCTTGGGAAGAGTCTCTCTCTACTGTTCCTTAATTCCTAATCAAGTCTCTTGCAAGATCTACAGGGCAGGGAAATCAAGATAAAACTTCCTGAAATGGAGCTCCCAAAATTCATCTGTGTCCCCAGCTCATCACCAAACCACAACAAAAGACCACATAGCTGGCAGAGAAGACAAATTTTCTATTTTATCTGCTGTTGAAAAATAACAAGAATCACAATTAGTCCTATTAAAGCAAGACCCCAAATGTTCAAATTATGGAACTACCAGAAGACGGGAAAAAAAAAAAAAAAAAAAAAAAAGCCACAAAAAAATGAAGCTGTAGAGGAGATTTCCAGCATGGATCCCCTTCCCCCCAAACAACACCCAAAACACCCACCCACCATGCCAAAGGTTAAGTCATTTAGTCAAGTTCAAAGATCTTCAAAGGGTTCTTAGATCCAGATAAGCCCATATGTTCCCAAAATTCTGTGAAAAGCCATTACTTTCCAATCTGCTTTTCATGTCCAACTTGCAGAACACACAGATGCTTGGCATCACTCGGGATCCCTAAATTCTCACACCAGATAATCAAGGCTCACCAATAACTTCCCCATCTCAAACCCTAAGAAATGGCTTTATTCCACAGGCCGCTTGTAAAAATTGAAAGTCTCCATAAAAGCCCATTCAGTTACTGCACAATAAGTGTTAATTTGCTAATTTCTTCACAGGTAATCAATTAAAATGTAAAATATTGGATAAAATTAGTTGCACTAAATTTAACAGCTGCTCCATAAGCATAATTAGTTTCACAAGGGCCATATGTATTCTGAGCAGAGACTGAGTTGAAACAAATAAGCGGATTTTAAAACAAGTTTGAGGAAATCTGCATTTAATTAGCAGGTGGGCACTACAACTGCATAATGTTTTTATACATTTATATTTATGAAGTGACAGAAGATCTAAAGGCTTTTTAAAATGGCGTTTATTGTTTGAATGGGAACTGTTTTGCTACATGCTAAAGTGATTTAAATCCTTATAGCCCCGCTTTGAAAAAATCATAAATGGTGAAAGAAAACATGTGGAAAACTGTAAAACTAGAAAGAATTTGCGACAAAAAGCAGAGCCACATACCATAACCAAAAGGAAACTACACTTAATTAAATGTACACTACATCTGGAATATCAGCCTAATAAAAAGTGCAACTATTAATTCTCATTGTTCTAAAGGAAATGAGGTCAGTGGCGTTTAGTATTTCCCCAATTATATTGCACTAAAGCGCTGAACTCTATCTTAGAGGTCCAATCTAATCTCTTCAAAAGGTTACAACTGCAAAAGAGAGACTTTTTTAAATGGAAGGAGGAATTAGAGCCCAAAACCAAGACAGGGTTTGTTTTCTTCTCTTTGAGCTCTTCCAGGAAAGACCAATTTTTGCAAAAATAATCTTTTTTTCTTGGCAAACAGCACCCCCCACTCCAAAGAACGGTGCTGAGATGTCAACTTCTCCCCTGGAATTCTTCTAAGCATCTCTCACCTGACACAAGCCTTATTAGATTATTTTTAGCTCAATGGGCACAAACAAAAGCCAACAAATTCAGGGCTCTTTAATACTTCAGCCATAAATCCAAGGGCTGGGCCAGAACAATGGAACAACTGCGCTGCATCAAGCTGCCTGCTCAGACTGGCAATAAAGCCAGAGTGCAAACACACAAGTAATTGCAGCAAAATGCCATGTTCTCTTTCAAAGCATATTAAGAGAAAGTTCCTTGTTTAACTCAACTTCATCACCAGGGGGAAAAAAAAAAAAAATCACAGTACGGGTTGTTGGAAAGGTAAAATAATTTTGGGTATCGGTTGCAGTCGTTCAGACTGCAGGAAT